AAGAAGATGACCCGCCAGTTCGAACAAATTGAATTGGTCTCCCAGCAGGTAGACAAGGGTGAGGAGAAGGCTAGGATCGAGCCGGATGCAAACACGGAGGAGATCCAGATTGATGCCTCCAATCCTGAGAGGAAGGTCAAAATTGGGGCTGACCTTCAGGAAGAGCTAAGGACTGAGATTGTCCAGGTGTTGACCAGGTATAAATCATTATTTGCCTGGAGTGTTGCTGATATGCCCGGGATTGACCGGTCAGTCATTTGTCATCGTCTCTCTGTTCTTGAGGGGTCTAGGCCTGTAAGACAGAAGAAGAGATTTTTGGCAAGTGATAGGAGGGACTTTGTGAAGAAAGAGGTCAAGGACCTACTTGAGGTAGGTCATATCAGGGAAGTAAACTACCCTGAATGGCTGGCCAATGTAGTCCTGGCCCCGAAGGGTGATACCTGGAGGATGTGCGTAGACTACACAGACCTCAACAAGGCATGCCCAATGGATTCTTATCCTCTCCCCAGCCCGGACCAAATGGTTGATGAAACTGCCGAGTGTGAGTTGCTCAGCTTTATGGATGCCTTCAAGGGGTATCATCAAATCTTCATGGCGGAGGATGATGAGGAGAAGACGGCCTTCCTCACTCCGGACAGCACATACTGTTACAAGGTGATGGCCTTTGGGTTGAAAAACTCAGGGGCAACTTACCAGAGAATGGTCAACAAATTGTTCAGGCCTTTACTTTGATGGACCATGGAGGCTTATGTCGATGATATGCTGGTGAAAAGCAGGACAGCCAACACACACGCTCAAGACCTGGAAAAATGTTTTGAGATTATGGCTAGGCATAATCTTAGACTTAATCCAAAGAAGTGTGTTTTTGCTGTGAGGACGGGGAAGTTCTTGGGGTTCATGGTCACGAAGAGGGGGATTGAGCCAAATCCTGAGAAGATCAAGGCCATTGTTGAGATGCAACCCCCAACCTCGGTAAGGGATGTCCAGAGATTGACGGGGCGCCTGGTGGCCCTAAATCGGTTCTTGTCCAGATCAGCTGAGAAGGCCTTACCTTTCTTTAAAGTATTAAAGAAAGCCAACACCTTCCAGTGGGATGATGAATGCGCCAGGGCATTCGAAGAACTGAAGACATACCTGACTTCGGATATTGTCTTGTCCAAGCCAGAAACAAAGGAGACCCTCTACCTCTACTTAGGGATTACTCAGATGGCCGTTAGCTCGGTCTTGATGAGGGATGATGGGGTCTAGAGGCCCATTTATTATGTAAGCAAGGCCTTAAATGGGGCAGAAAGTAGGTATACTCCCACGGAGAAGGCAGGGTATGCACTATTCATAACGGCGAAAAAACTCACCTCCTACTTTCAGGCCCATCCTATTATCGTATTGACCGACCTACCATTGGGCACGGTCATGAGGGATTCCACTTCATCGGGAAGGATGATTAAATGGGCCATGATGCTTACCCAATTCAACATTGAATATCGTCCGAGGACGGCGATAAAAGGGCAGGCCGTGGCTGATTTTCTTGTAGAGATGACGGGTCACCAGCAAGAAGAACCGGCTAAGGCTATCACAGAGCCTTGGTGGTCCATGTCGGTAGATGGAGCCTCTGGACCGAAAGGGTACGGGGGAGGTGTAGTATTCACAACTCCGGAAGGGTTCAAGGTATATCATGCCTTGATCTTCAATTTCAAGCTCACAAACAACGAGGCTGAGTATGAGGCATTGATAGGGGGTCTGAGATTGGCCAAAACCCTACAAATCAC